CCAAAAATTTTGATCTAACCTCGGGACGTGGACCGATCGGTCTAGACCTGGACCGATCGGTCTACGTGAATCGGTCTACACAGTCCAGAACGGTCCAGACCTTTCGGTCTGTAGGTCCAGACCGATCGGTCCACACGTGTGGACCGTTTAGTCCAGATCTGTCGGTCCAACCGACCCGCAAAACCCTAGACCGATCGGTCCAGAAGGCCAGACCGATCGGTCCAGGCGAAAACGTGATCAGATCTCGTTTTCGTCGTTTCTGTCCCGTTTCAGATCCGAATTCGACCCGGTTTTCGCCTGCGAACTTAGAATTCGAACCTCTTGCACATTATACAACAATGAACAGAAAATCTACTCTAGATCCACAATCAAATCATGCATAGCATCAAAACAAACACGGATTCAAACGATTCAAATCCTATAACGTGTGTGATCGGACTCTAACAAAATTATATAATAGAACCAGGCTCTGATACCACTGTTGGGATTCCTGGGATCTCTAGAGAAAATCTAATTCCTAAGATATTGGTTCTAGGGTTTGCGCAACGGATGTAAAACAAAAATTTTATAAAACCCTAAAACCTATCATGCATGATCTTATAGAAACGTTAGAATGCTTACCTCAATCGATCCGATGCTTGTATCAATTGATGTGTTCGTCCGATCACTGTAGGCAGGAAGAATACCTCGCCCTCTACACGTATCCACACGGCGGAAAGAATTCCAACGGTTGGAACTCGTCTGCTAGGACTGAAGAATGCTTTCTTCTTTGCGCAAGGATTTCAGGGATTAATCTCTTAGATTTTTCTCTCTCAAAACCTCTCAAAAGAGTCTGAAAGTCGAGCTTAAGAGCTTCGGAGGCGTTCCCAAACTTCCTTTCCCTTAAAACCCTAATTTGAGTGAGTTAAGAAAATCCTGACGTCTGGACCGATCGGTCTGGAGCTTTTGTCTGTGGACCGATTGGTCCAGTCCTCTAGACCGATCGGTCTGGAACATTTTTTCGGATCGAACAACATTTGCACGTTACCTCTGGACTGATCGGTGCACGTGTCTGGACCGGTCGGTCTGGCCTCCGCTCTACCGGGAAATTCTCGTCTTTTCTCGCGCGATTGTCGTTTCCTGTATGTGTGACCCTGTAGGCTCATCCGATATAGTAGTATAACCCGAAATCTCTATTTCGATTATACAAGTCATAGGCGGTCTTTAGCAAGACACTATTACTACCTATCTCGAATAGAGTTTGTTCGTGATCTTACGAGCGCCAGTGATGATTCCGTTTGATCATCCTTTTGTATCACGATATCATTTGTCGAACATAAGGCATGGATAGGTCACCTTATCTGATTCGAATGCTTTCTCGTTCACTGAGTTCGACTGTGTGAAATAGACGACGTTCGTCTATAGTGCGGCCACACATTTCTACAGTCTCGCTCACACGAATACTTATGATTGTGATTGTATCCAGCATCTATGATCATCTCTATGATTATCAATCATACATCACACTAGTCTTAGTATATCATTGTTCCCACAATGACATATGACTAGGGAGTTTAGTATTGTTCATAACAATACATGGATTTCATAACATATTAAGTATGCACAACATGTAATGAATAATACACTCATCCATAAACCATAGAAAGTGTCAATACATCAAATGTATCAAAATAAAGCTCGCAAAACAATACATCATAGAGCACTAAACCAACATTCTTCTTCAGACTTGCCTCCATCTCGGAGTGGGTAGTACTTGATAATTTCTCCATTAGTAACAATTGATTCTGATGTGACCTCTTATTCCACAGTAGAAACAAGTGCGATACTCACGATACTGTTGGGATCTTTGTCTTTGATGTAAATCCACCTTGATTTTTGGAGTATGTTTTACTCGAGAGATTACTTCATCTCCAAGTTTTCCTCCTGAAACAAAGTTTCCTACTTTGTTTTTACTTCCTCTAGTATATCTAAGACCAGCATGTCCAGATTGAGTTCGCCCAATTGTTAGTAAATGCTCCAGTTTTTCAGTACCACTTCCAAGCATTCTTACATTCTTCATGGTACCTTCCAACTGATGTTGTAATAGAGCAATCTTCTCTTCTTTCTCCTTTAGTTGCTTCTTCAAATCATCAACCTCTGACACTTTTGTGACCAGCTGCTCCTTAATTTCTGAGATCTTTGTCTTACTCTCCTTCTGCTCTTTGATTAGTCTAGTGTTGATGTCATACAACCTCGACATATCCTTATACAGATCTTCTTCGAATATCTCTTCTTCAGTCTCGTCTATTATCCCAATGAATACAATGAAATTTGACATCTCTTCTCCACTCTCTTCATCAGATTCTGTTTCAATCTTTTCATGCGTGATAAGAGATTTACCTCTTGCTTTTCCATTTGTACATTCATTCTTTGTGTGCCCATATCCTTTGCACTCATAGCATTGAAGGTCCTTTAGATTCTTTAGCATTGCCTCCCTCTTGGCAATGCTGGGACATTCAGCCTTCCAGTGACCTGCTCCCCTGCATTCAAGACATTTTCCAGTATTTCTTGTCTCTGTTTTTCCAGTTGTCACTGGTTTTTTCTTGAAAAACCTGTTGAATTTTTTTACTATCATCGTCATGTCTTCCTCCAGTGTTACTTGGCTCGGAGCATCAGATGACTTCGGAACATGAAATGCCAAACCTTTATTTGGCGTTGCTCCCTTTGGCTTTTCATATAGTTCCAGTTCTAACTCATGAGCCGCAAATGCACCAACTATTTCTTTGAAACTAACAGTATCTACATTGTTTACCATAGTAAATACAAATTTATGAGACATAAACTTTTTGGGTAAACTTACTAGGAGTTTTGCCTGTTTGTCTCGATAGGTCTTTCCAAGAACCTCAGCTTCGTTTTCCAGTGCATTCAACCTTCCACAGAATTCCTTGACACTCTCGTTCTCACCCATTTGAAGCATTTTGAACTGATTCTTGATCAGATCTCTCCTTGTGCGCTTGACACTTGAGGTACTTTCATGAATTAATTCAAGTCCATCCCAGGCTTCTTTTGCTGATTTGCACCCTTGAATTTCCTTAAACTCATCTTTATCAACTGTGTTGAAAATGATGGTTATAGCCTTTGAATTCAGTGCAGGTGCTCGCTTCTCGTGCGGTGTCCACTCAGATCTGGGTTTCAAGATCTCCTTTCCATCCTTCACGTCAATTGGGGCACTCATCCTTCTTCTACTGACTCCAAGCATCTTCATCAATTCCTTTGATGAGATTCATAGTTTTTACTTTCCAAAAACTATAATTCTCTGAGTCGAGAATTGTAGACTTTCCAAGAGACTGAAACTCTTTGAGTGAGTCCATGTTGACTCTTCAACACGTACACTGATATGAGAGGACTTGCTCCTACGATCAGTGACCAGCTCTGATACCAAATGAAAAAGTTGAACCCTCAAAGAGTAAAGCGGACAACTAACCAGTTCTATTCACTTGAGAAAGACAGTCAAGTACAACTCTTTTTGTTGTAAGAATCGTACTTACTACACACACCCGAAACTCCCCCTGAGTTTCTTCCCCTCTCACGATGAATTCTACTGATCAAAAAACCTCAACATAAACCACTCACCAGAGAAAAGAGATTTGCCCAAACGATCTCCCTCTCAGACTCACACTCACCAAATTGTGAGTAAGCACTAACTTATTTTTTTTTATAATCCGGAAGTTCACCGGACCTTTGGTCCGACTACATCTCCTAGAGGACCGGAGAAGCCCAGGTGAATGCCCCTCCCCACGCTTGGGTTTGAACCTAGATTGAGAGCATGCTTTGCATGTTCTCTCACCACTAGGCCACCCAAGATTGGGTGAGTGAGCACTAACTTAACAGAACAGACTTTGTATTACGAAAATATGCTCATGCTCTTTGAAAAGCTGATATGCACTTGTCTCTTTATTTAAACTCTTCGGGTTCGTCCACCAAATGATTTGATCGACTTCTCCTTGATTTTCTCTGATTTTGATTCTATCTTCAAGATCCTATCTTCATCTCTATCTCTTCAGCCTTTGACTCTATCTCTTCAGTCTTTGACTCTATCTGAATCTCTTCAATTGTACCTCATATTTGTTCGAGCTTTATCTCGCCTGATTCTTCTCCTGAAATCTCTCAAAGTTGTTGAACCTGCAACAACCTTTTAACAACCAAAACAACTCGTGCAAATACTTGCACTAACAGAATTAATCATCGTAGGCTTAATTATCTTTATACAGTATGATTCGTGGGATTTTTTGTAGAATTTTTATCTAGCCGAATTCATATGAAATTCGAAGATAAATAGACCGAAAGTAAGTCATATCATTTGTTTTTTTTATCCGTTAGCTTTGTTTTTCTCCTCCATTTCATTTATGTGTTTCCTTTTCTAATTTTGTAATCTGTATGGTACGGCATACATACCAATGTATATATATGTATGTATAAGGAAAACATGTAGAGTAGGGGAAAGGAGTGATGCATGGAAATATGGGAGTGGGCCCATTTATGTGGGGAAAAATTAGGTTTGGCCCATTTGAAGAGCGATTGTAAGCCCATATTATTCCCCAAACATAACAAATTAACATTCTCGTTTAATGAATCCATTTCTATTTTTCTCAAGCATTTCGAAAACTAATCATATTAAATATTTTAATAAAAACACTACCTATGAAAACTAAATTATAAAAACTAAACCCTAAATTCTGACTAAAAACAAGATTGAAATTCAAAGTTTTAATAAACTATTTCAATAACAATCTACAAATATGTATTATTATTATTATTATTTTCCAATTTTTAATCAGAACAAGTTACTTTTACAAATTTTCCGTTATATTGTTATATGACTTTTGGAGCCTTCGTCTTTTACGTCCCGTTGACATTGACTTTCCCTTGGATTCCCAAGAAAATATTTTTATTATTATTATCATCATTTCCAATATTTATATGGCAATTTGCTTTGATACAAACTTGCACGATTTTGCCCCTTAAAACAAATGGTCTCAACATCCTCCTCTTCCTCTCAATTTCAAAATCCTACAAGAGGAAGAAGAAGTACATAGTGTTGTTTGTTCTTTCTCTCTTCTTGTCTTGTAGTTCTTTGTAGGCTTCGTCTTATTACAATGGCAAGCTCCGGTTTCAAGAATTGGAGTTTGAATCCGATGTTTTCTTTGAGATAATGGGTTTTTTTTCTTTGACGCAAATCTGTAAGTTTTCTGCGTTGAATATGTTCATATTGTTATATTCGTATATATATGTAAGCATGGCTCCATTTCCAATATTTGATTCATTTTCAAGATTCATTCATTAAATAAATTGGAAGTGGGGGGTTGTCTCTGAATAATCTAAGAGGAAAGATGGAGGAAGAAGAAGAAGAGGTGATGGTGAAGGAAGGACTAATGGCATCCCAAAGAGAGATTTTCAGCATTTCTGGTCCCATCCATCTTACCTCCATTGATTGGTCAGTCCATTTCTCATCTCTAACAAAAATCTCTTATAACTCATACAATAATTATCACCATTTCACATATTACAGTTTAATTATAATGTTTTCCACTATTATAATTCAAATTATTACTATTCTTATTGAATAATTTAAATTGACAACATAGTTCATTTTCTATAAAAACTATAATTTTTATAAAAATATAATTGTAATGTAATAAACAAATTTAAAACTAAATAAAAAGTACATTCATATATAAATTTAAAAATTATATATAAATTACCCGTGAATATTTGTAAATTTGGATTAATTTTTTATTAGTTTTTTAAATATAGGAACAACGCGTATCACAGAACATCGGTTGCGGCGTGCCTAGTACAAGGAGTGTACATACTAGAACGCGACCGCCAACAAAACCGCGTCGGGATCAAATCGCAGGCAGCGTCTTGGTGGGAATCCTTCCACTTCTCTCTCTCCGAAACGCTGATCGACGACTCCGACCACTCCATATACGGCGCCGTTTTTGCCTACAAACCCCATTACAGTTACCATCATACCCTTCACGGCTACAAGCTCCCACCACGTCACGTGATCGCATTCCGCGGCACAATCATGAAAGCGCACTCCCGGTCACGTGACCTGCGCCTCGACATCCGCTGCGTCCGCGACAGCCTTCACGACAGTACGAGGTTCCTCCACGCCATGGATGTTGTCCAGACCACGGTCGCCAATAATGGTGGCGTCTCCGCCGTGTGGCTCGCAGGACACTCTCTCGGCGCCGCGGTGGCTCTGCTCGCCGGGAAAACCATGACGAGGAATGGTTTTCCGCTGGAGACTTACCTCTTCAACCCGCCGTTTTCGTCGGTTCCCATAGAGAGAATCGTGAAGAACGAGAAGCTGAAACACGGAATTCGATTCGCCGGAAGTCTCGTGAAAGCCGGAGTCGCTATGGCCGTCAAGGGTCGCCACCACAAGGTGAGCTTTTTGATCGGATATTATATGAGAATCTTACATGTGATTGAGCTTCATAGTATGTAAATATGTCGTATTTAGTTGGGTTATATAATGATGAAAATGTAATTGAGCATCTACAAACCCTAATTGTTCGTCTCGGATATCACATATATATATATATATATATATTGAGTCGCTTACTATAAAAATTTGGTGTTTGTTGGAGGTATTATTTAATTTGTATGGGTTTGGACATACTCATGCCTCATGCATACACATAAATGAAACCAGAGCATTTTTCATAAGTTAAAAACAGAAACACATAAATGTATCGTATTTTTTTTATAAGAAGAACTCACGTTTTATTACATTTTTTCTATAATCCGTAAGTTCATCGAGTTATTGACCCAACTATATCTCCTATAGGATATGGAGAAGTTCGGGTGAATACCCCTCTCCACGTTTGGATTAGGAACTCAGGTTTTATTACATATTTTCTCGCATTATTGGGTACAATGTAGTAAGGTATCTCACGTATATATGTATATATATGCAGGGACAGGAAGACGGTCCATTTGAGAAATTGGCGTCATGGATACCATACCTCTACGTGAACTCAGAAGATCCGATATGTTCAGAATACGTAGGATATTTCGAACACAGGAAGAAAATGTTTGAGATAGGGGCAGGAAAAATAGAGAGAATAGCGACCAAGAATTCTCTAAGAAATCTTCTGTCGGGAGGAGGAACATCGTCGTCGTCGTCAGAGCCTCTCCATCTTCTGCCATCGGCCTATCTCACTATCAATACGAACAGATCCCCAGATTTCAGAAGAGCTCATGGGATTCATCAGTGGTGGGATCCTTGTTTCTCCGGTCGCTATGTTTTGCACCAGTTTCCTTCATAACGCACCATCACTCACTATACACACACACACTCTCACATGGAGATTCATCGTTCTTTGTTGTTTTTGTTTCGAATATTCGAGAGTCCAAACCTTGTTCAGATTTTGAAGGAGTCGCAAAAGATTTCAATGTTTGTTAATGACATATCCAAACTTGGGTGGGCTCATGATAATAAAACATATAACTTATAACTTATGTTTTTATTTCGAGTTTAAATTCAAGGTTCAAATTTTACTTTTTGGTTGGAAGTGTAGTTAGGCAAAAAAAAACTGGTGAACTCTTGGATTATATAAAAAGAGAGACTTAACATTATTAACACTATTTTTGCACCGGAAATGTAAAAACTATATTCGAATTTCATGTAAAGCCCTCTTCAATAAATACTTTTTTCTCTCTTTTTCTTTCCATTTTTTTTTCTCTAACTTAATTATTCATATGTGTGTGTGATATACGGTTGTTTATCTTTGAATCGGATTATGATAATATGATGTATATAATAGTTGCATATTAAATATTTTTTTTATGCGTTTTGAATATAGTCACGACCACATCACATGATGTGTGTGGCCCAATTCCGCCGACGATGTAGAAAAAAAAGGGCACATGCATATGTTTCTTCATTATTTCAATCTAATCCATTTATATTTCCGTTTGGCCTCTAATCTTTCTCTAGTTGTCACCTGGGGCCCCTTTTGTTTTTGTTTTTTTTTTCTTATTTGCTGGACATACAAACATTTTTAGCAATTTCCTAAATATCATGAATTGAATTTCTTGTTCGGAGTTTTTCAGATATACTTTGATTGAATATCTTCAAAAAAATTATTTTCAACTCGGAATAAAAAAAATATTTTACCAAAAAGCGTCCGAATTTTATTTTTTGTAAGGAGAAAAGCCTACTACGTCTTGTATTTTTTCCTTGATCCTTATTTTTTTTATAATATGTTATAAATTCTAACCTATGTAATTAAAATGTATTTCACAAAGTTTTTTTTGGACAACCGAGTATCCTAAATTAAGATCAAAACTAATCTCGAGATCACGAGTCAACCATATAATTTGCATTATACACTCTCACTAAATTTAAAGTTCGAATTTGGAACGCAATATGCACTTTGGATCTCATTTCACCGATTGAACTATCCGAATTTTGTTAGAACCGTATATCTCAATCTTATTAAACTCTATTCTAAGGCGCAACAAATAAATAATTTCCGTTTCCATCCGAGCATTTATATATATATAGGTTAATCTTAATTATTTTCAAAAGGTTCATCCTAATTTAGAGTATGGGCCACGGAAATATATCCATGAGAAAGGAGTTTGATATACTTGAAAAATTATATTGAAACAGAAATGTAGTAAATGGGATTTCGCAATGGAATCAATTTCTTAAATGAAATAAGCATATTCCCATGCAGAAATCATGTAATCTATAAAGGAGCAATGGGAATATTAAAAATTTTTGGTGGGTTAATGAGTCAAAGTAATCAGACGTAATCAGGGAGAGGGTGATTGGTAAAATCCAACGCATTCTGTCTTCTGGGAAGCCTCCTGTCGGTGGCCGATCGAGTTCGGTCCGAACTGTATCCACGTGGGACCATGTCTCTCTATCTAACTATTTCAACTTTACCCCTTACCGTGTATCATTTTTGTTTTTGGTTTTGATCGGTAATCATTTGGATTGAGGTAAGATCGGTTATTTCAAAAATAATATATCATTCAAATTCTACATTTAAATATTTTTTTTAAAATTTTATAAATTAGAAAATTGTGGAATAAGAGTTAACATAATTGTAAATTTTACATATATTGATTTTTTTACTGTATCACATTTTCTTCATGATTACGAATTTCAATTTGTTTTTTATATTTTATAGGTATAAAATTTTTATGTTCTCAATTATCTTAACTCTATAAATTCCTGTAAATTTAACTTTTCTAGACTCTTTAATTAGCATCTATAAAATCTTAAATTATATCAATTTGGACAACTTGATTAGTTACTATTTCAGAATTATTGCTCGATATGCAAACTCACTCCAGATTTAGATTTTTGGACAAGAAGCACTTTTTGTAACGAGCAAATAAATAGAGTTGATGGGAAGTATTAATTTTTATATTTTGTGAAGACAATATTCATAACAAAAACACAAAATTAGTTCAACTATCGTGTATTTTTTAAAAAACTTGTTGGGTTTTTTTTGCCCTAATAAAGAGATGGAAAGGTTTCTTCCCATTAAGGCTGTTCACTTTCCGTATGATCATTTCTTTTTGAGATCGCAATTTCTAATGGTGTTTGTTTAATCTAATAAACATCACTATTATATTCCTACAAAACAAATAATAATAATAATAATAATAATAATAATAATAATAATAATAATAATAATAATAATAATAACAATAATAACTGTTCGTTATGATTCCATTGTTTGTAATAAGATCTCTCCAATATGATAACATATCCAATCTAACAATCATATGCTGGGGAACAAATGTATTCTCTCTCTATAGTGGGGTAAAAGATAAAATTATATAGTAACTAATAATTAATAATGCATGGCACTAATACATAGTTATTGTTGTGGTTGTTGTTGTGAAACGTCTCTTTGTCTTTATGGACAGTGAAACTTTTAAAAATCTAAAAGAGATTCTAATGTAATATATAAATACCCGCTGTTATTCTTTCAAATAATTAAAAAAAATTCATTCGAACCATTTTCTACCATATTTAATACTTTTTCTCAAGACTGCATAATTAAGCACTTTAATCATATGTGACCGACACACATTCATATGTGTGCGTATATATATATATATGTAATGTGTGAGTGTGTTTGTGCGCCCCAGTCTTCAGCCATTGAGAGTTTTCTTCGTTTTTTAATGGTATCTAGGATCCAGCTTGCGTCACGTTTTTTTTTTTGCACCAAAACATGGATATTATATACAATTCCTCCAAAAAAATCTGTTAACCTTAGAATGAGAAGGTTGCAGAAAGCTTTTCGTATCTTATTGATCAACCACAAACATTGGAATATATACAAAAGAAACGAAAGCTGTAGTTCATGTATCTCAGGAAGAGATAAATATGCATCATAACAAATAGATATATGTTAAGATTGAGATCAATGAGATATCAATCTCTAATATTCCCCCTCAAGGTGGAGAATACATGGAATGTATTCTTAGCTTGGATAAAAGATGGTGAAACTGATCAACCGAAAGAGATTTGGTGAGAAAATTCGCTAGTTGATCACGAGACAACATGTGAAGTGGTTTCAGAAAACCACTATTGACCCGATCACGTACGAAATGGCAGTCCAATTCGATGTGTTTCGTACATTCATGGAAGACGGGGTTGTTGGCAATGTGACACAGCGGATTGATTGTCGCAAAAAGGGAAATCGGATGCGGACAATGAACATGTAAATCACGAAGCAGAGCATCTAGCCATACCAATTCGCATGTCGTCTGTGCCATTGCTCTATATTCTGATTCAGCCGAAATCTTGGAAATGGTCGGTTGCTTCTTAGACTTCCAAGAAATTAGCGAGCTACCCAGGAAAATGCAAAAACCCGTGACAGATCGGCGAGAATCAGGGCAAGAAGCCCAATCCGCATCTGTATAAGCTGTCAAACAAAGTTCAGAATTAGCAGGGTATAACAGACCCTGTCCAGGAGCATTTTTCAAATAACGCAGAATCCGAAAAGCAGCTTAGAGATGAGGTTGTCGAGGCTGAGACATAAACTGACTGAGCTTCATTACCGAGTGAGATATGTCAGGCCGTGTGATCGACAGGTAAATTAATTTACCCAGAATTGTACGATATAGCGTAGGATCTTCGATCAATTCACCCATGTCTTGACTCAGTTTCAAACCGAATTCCATAGACATTGCTAGTGGCTTACAACCAAGCATTCCAAATTCTTCCAGCAGTTCAAGGGTGTATTTCCGCTGACAGACCAAAATACAGAGCTTTGAACGAACAATCTCCAAACCCAAGAAATAATGCCAATCCCCAAGATCTTTAACTTTGAATTCTGCCTGGAGGGTGCGCTTCAAATCAGAGATGTAAGCCAAGTTCTTCCCAATGATGAGTAGATCATCGACGTAAATCAGAACAGCGACAATGTCAGAACCCTGTTTTCTAACAAATAAGGAGTTATCCGAATGGGATTGGATAAAAACAGCTGCCAACAAAACTTGAGAGATACGAATGTTCCACTACCGTGAAGCTTGCTTGAGACCGTAAATGGACCTATTCAGACGACAAACCGAATTAGGCGGAACAGATTCTCTCTGAAGATCTGAATAACCACACTACAAAAAAACAGCCTTATATCAACGGATATTATCAACGAAAGAATTGTCAACGGAAAAAATCCGTTGCAAATGTCAACGGAGTTCAACGAAATAGTAACGGATTTTGCAGCGGAACATATCCGTTGATAGTCCGTTTATAATTACAACGGAATAGCAACAGAAATATTCGTTGATATATATTAACGATTATATTCAACGGAACACAGGCGTGGCTTATTTTCAATGGCTTATTGTCAACAGCGTGGAAAATTGCAATGTCCATGTAAAGGTTGTAGAAATTTAAAATTTCTAAGCCAAGAAGTGGTCTGCAAATATCTATATCGAGGGGGTTTTATGGATGATTACTACGTATGGCATATGCATGGAGAAAAAGTCAGGACAACGGCGAATACTATTGTATGGACACAGACAGAGGAGGTAGAAGCAACTGCAGAAAATCAATCTTTTGATTTTGAAACAAGAAATCCGTATGCTCAAATGGTGACAGATGCTTTTCCGGAGGTATTTGAGCAAGTTCAACAAGAAGAAGAAGAGCCGAATAATGATGCAAAAGGATTTTTGACATGCTCACGACGGAAAATCATTCTATATACGAAGGATGCAAACAAGGTCAGTCTCGATTATCATTAGCATCAAGATTGATGAGCATGAAAACAGATTATAATGTTATTGAGAATTGCATGGATTCGTTTTGCAAGACATTGCGTGGGTATTTACCTGAAAACAATCAAGCTCCGCAATCATATTATGATACAAAATCAATCTTAAAGGATTTGGGAATGCCTCATGAAAAGATTGATGTCTGCAGAAACAATTGCATGCTTTTTTGGGATACTGATAAAGAGTTGATGTAGTGTAAATTTTGTGGAG